AGGCGAGCGTAAAAACAAAGTTAACAAAACAAACAAACAAAACTCATTGTTCTTTCAAAGATAGATAGATACTTTCAATGCACTTTTACATCTATTAATAAATAATACATTAATATTAAAAAAATGTGGCCATTTTCTTATACTATTTACATAGTGATATTGCTACTCAGACATTCATGAATTACCCCGTTATCAATTTTGCAACAGGGCGTAGCGGATTCACTTTCATATTGTCTCGGAAATTCACAACGCAAGATAGACACAGCGAAATAGTTTTGTTACATTATGCATGGATAAGATAAGGCCCAATTTGAATTGTGTCTTTTATACTTATACAATTTTATGTGAAAGAAAACATCAAGCGATATGTACACAGGTCATCACAGTGCATTTATAAAAGTTAAATTGAAATATCTCAGTTCTTTCCTTATTTGTGTATGATTGTTGATTTGTATCGCAATGTTCGAGAAATGAAAAGATAAAAAAAAAATCTTTAACTTGGGTTTTATGTTACAGCAAGACTGTAAACTCTTAAGGTAAAACTGAGAAATGACGTCTTTCTAGCTTTACTTGTCGATAAAGACCTCGGATGCCCCTCAACGCAATATTTCAATTGCGAACAAATAGAAAAACCGACGTTCCGTAAGTAAATTGGATAACTTCTTCATATGGCAGAATTCAAAGTCCCTGGCGGGACCGAAGCCCACAGCTGCCTGGGGCAGGTGGTTTGAAGTCAACGACCACCTTCACTCAACCACGGATCGCCAACAACAACACTAGGCAATGTCTTAAAACTCTGTGCCACAACTGCTTCTGATAACACGTTGATTTCAAGTACTTTTATTCATACCTAATGTTTCAGTAGCCAACAGTCAAGCAGTAAAACTTATCGGTGTTTTTTAATTACAGATTTATGATTGAATTGACTATCGACAACCAAACAGAAGTCTGGGTTCTTTCTTTTGCGCATGTATGATGTTATTTCCTTATCTTCTAAACATGGAAAAGTGCCATTTAATTATTTCCTTACAGCCACTTATCAATAGATTGATTAGATCAATCGATGGAAAGCACGTCGTATAATGACACAAGCAGACATTCATTCTCTTTACTTCATGAACTTTATCACTGCACTTATTTCAGTTATTTGATTTATTGCTATCCGCATCCATGTGACCAAAGACGTCAATTAAATTATACGGCATTTCACGCAATGAATAGTTTCTTTAAATTTAAATAGTTAAATTTATATGTTCATAGAAAACGACATCTAATTTTTGGTTTTATCAACTAAAAAAAGAACTACATTGTACATTTTATTTGATATGTTTGTTTTTTTGATTTGATTTGATTCATTTTTATACAGTTTTCAATGATAAGTGAAACTGCTTTAAAGATGCTTGCTTATTATTTTTTTTTAATAATTTGACATTGACCTTTTATCTGGATATCGTTGCGTTCTATAACATTTCTATAAGAAGACAAATGCACGTTGTTTCGATTGATACAATGTTTAATACATTGTAATAATTCATAATAGTTCATATGTTTAATAAGATATGTACTTAATATAAAAGCTTCCGTGACAACATAATTATACAAAACGGAATGCTATACAAGTAATCAGGCTGCACGGAAAGGAAAAACCCAACTCAGTTTCATTAATGTCTTAAATAGTTTGCTTAAGTAAAGCATACGTGTAGATTGTTACACTGAAAATGTATGTAAATGAGTTAAATTAGTTGAAATTAGTGTAGCAATAATGAAAGTCACGGTGTAATTTTAATATTTTAACATTTTTTTCTCCTCAGTGATTGGCTTTATCTGTTTCACTGACATTTTTTGACTATATTCATTGATATATATGGTATTTTGATAATCATTCAAAATTAATGAACTGTATATACTTTTAATACAAATATTTTAGGATTTTCATTACTATGAATTTATCAAAAAGTTATTCTATTAAAACATGCTCTATAATATTTACAAAGTAGTGTCAAAGACGTATTCTGCTACAAATAGTCAGGAAAACGTCCTGTCAAATTATGTAGACATGCCGGTTGTAACTTTACAAAGGGGCACAGGTACGATGTAAACCTACAAGTTCTGTGTAATAGTAAATGTATTGATTACCATTTGCGTCATTTCGTTTCTACGTCAATGTTCATATTTGAATTATGAGACAGGAAATGAAATATATTTTGGATCCCTACACGTCTATGATCTCAAAATATAGTAGTTTATTTTAATTGTCAGCGAAATTGTGATACATACTCAAGTCTTTTAAGACATATGTTTGATTTTGTATTCAAATAAAAGTTGTCACCAATTATATTGAAGTAGCACATATCGTTAATGCTTATAAAAGCTAAGATAGTAGAGAGAGGAAACCCTCAAGGTTGCTAAAAACCGCAATCAATTTCATGAAGGAGGCTAGACATATCAAAAAAATTTATATACTAAAACTGTATAAACTTATAAAAAATCACAAGTTCAATGTTTAAATGTTGTATTGGGTCGGTGCTACGGGGCATGTACGGTACTATACCACTACCGTCCATGAATAGACTCAACCAAACCGAGTTGCAACATCTTCAATTTTGACCTGTTTAGCTTTCTATAGGGATTCATTTTTTTTTCTATTTTACAGGAGTGTCGACTGATCACATTTAAATTGCGAATTAAAATTTCTTGACGTGTCGTCGCGACTTTATGAACCCGCGAAATAATTCAGGAAGGGTTTTTTCGCGATAAAATCACACGAATATGAAGTGATTTACAGTAATTGAATGCAATACCAGACTGCATTCTTAGATAAAACTGATTATTTCGAATGTTGATTCAATAAAACTTTCACAAATAAATGTAAATTTCACTAGACTAGTGTAAAGAAAAAATCTTACGAAAAGTTATTCGTTATAGGAATTCTGAAATAACATGTTACCAGAACAATGTAAATTTCATTAGGTGATATTTATCTAAGATTAATTCAATTTTCATACTTTAATTGCCTTGTCTGTTTTTAAGAAAAAAATTATAGTAGACACATTTTATGCCTGAGTCATAATAAAAGAAAACTTTGATGTAGCATACAATTTTTTCCGTTTCTTAAAAATGGAAAGGCATTTTAGTGTTCTTACAAAATGAGACATTTTTTTGCTAGTTGTTATAAAAATGGTGAGATTTAAATTTATATTTGAAAGATTTTATATTAATTTTTATTATCGTTTCTATTCCGTGTGAGTTTATGTCACATCAGCACTATAAAGTTCATATTGCAACTTTCCAGTTTTACTGGTAGAGGAACACCTCAAATGTCATTTTATACATTATTTCCGACACGGATGGGCATATAAGTAGAACCACGGTCTTTTGTCACGATAGCTTCAATGCAAAAAAAGAATATAAACTACGGCAAGTGATTACTCTAATAATGTATAGAATATAGCCAAATACAAATATTACATGTTGTATGGAATAAATTGTCTGATTTATTTTCCTGGAAACACATTTAAAAAGAAATATAATCAGTTAATTAACGATAAAACATTAGATGACCATAAAGCAAAACTAAATTTATTTTTTGTCAAAATTATTTCACATTCAGTGGTATTTTCGTCAGGTGATACAAATGTAAGCATCATGTTCTTAATCGATTTATACAACATTATAAACACATGTGTGCTCTTCATATAGAAAGAAAATAAAGAAGAAATTAATATGTTAGGCTTAATGGTCATTTAACAAAATAAAAACCACGCTATACTATTGATAAAAGTATGATGAGAATCAATATGTGTATAATGCTAATAAAAACCAAAAGAGTAACGTAATGAATGCGCAAATGATTACAAAAACAGAAACACAGAGCTGCATCTCAGCACCTTTGATTGATCTTAGAGATTGATGTTATAACAATTGAAATGTTAATTGTAAAATTTCGTGTTTACTTAATTTCAGCAAAAACTTTCATATTCACTTAGCGGAAAAGCTATCCAATCAATCTGTAGCAGATATGATAATCAATGATTCTATGTTTGAATTCATTTCCTGCTTTTGCTTGCAGAGAGGTTATCTTAGGAATACCGGTTTGTTTGATGATTTTTCAACTTGATCGATGCTGAGCATTTACATCCATCAGCGTCCTATGGTGTTCATTACATGATTTCTTCTTAATGCAAACCAACAAAGGTTTTGTTAATTGTTTTGTTGATTATTATTAATAATAAATGCATGTACTCTGATAAATGTGACGTTTTCTTTTAGCAAAAAAGCTCTGCTTAAAGATATCTTCAAATTAATTTCTGCTCTCTATGTTTTGATTAAGGAGTTTCGAAAAAGAAATGCTAGAGTTAAACAAAAAGAAACACCCCTTCCCGAAATATATTTTATAATTATAGACTAAAAAATATTGAATTGTTTTGTCAATGTATTTTGTGCAATATATCACATTTGTTTTTATTTTATCATAAACAAGCCGTACTTATATGTGACATTGATATTTTACATGGATAAAAAATTCCATATGACAACCAGTATTCCATTAATGGATACATTTGAATGTTACGGAATGATAGTACGTATCATAGACGATTTTCACCTCTTAACGTACAAACAACGAATTTATTTACCATTTCTCATGCAGACACGTTTTTATAGAAACTCACCATATATTTTATTTCATATTGCCAGATGAAAGAACACATGTAATTATTTTCAAAAAAGCAATTATTTCAAATCAGATAAAATACACATCATCTTAAAACTGATACGAATATATTAAATATTGTTTTCGGTACTTTCTAGTTTTTGCTGTGTGGTATTTAAAAGTATTTGGTATTGTCACAAAATCAATTATATTTTATCTTTTTTTAAATATAATCTCTTATAAACCTGTTTCTAGGAATAGACAGTTATAATACTGACCAGTGTAAATAGTTTTCTTCATACCTGAGTGAACACTTACCTGTATTAGTTAGCTGGCCATCTCTGACTTGTGACATTTGGTGTCAGAAGTGGGATAGGTAGTTCTCCATGAAAGTAACTATTAATAAAAAGAAAAATATTGTGTTTTATTTTAGAAATTATTCTTTTCAGGTTTTGTTTGTAATCTATGAACAAAGGAAGTGATTGAAGTTGTGTTGTTTTACAGTCGGACCCTGATGTCTAGAGTTCAGTCACTGTTCTGTGTGTAGTAAGTACAGGTACTAATAAAGGTAGGAGGTTAGAATTCTGCCAGGTTCATTTAGTTTTGAAAATTGGTTTTACACTTCACCTAGATTTAAATTGTATTGATAAGTGGTACAGGTATATACATGTTATAAATACTTGTGGTTTCTGTGTGGCTGTACAAATTTATGAAACGGTATTTTATGCTATATTTTCAATGAGCGAAACATTAGCAAAGAGATATCTTATTTCTTATTGACGATTAGTCAATGTATATATTGTATATATGTTATAGTGTTTTTATAATCATGGAATCTTTAAAAGCAATAACAGAATTAGGTCGACAGATGGGGTATGATGGGGAGGAGCTTAGAGCATTTGTGAAAGATCAAAAAGACAGGCAGCGAGAGGAAAGAAAAGAGAAACGTGACATCGTTCAAAGGGAACAACAGGTAGAGCGTGAAAGACAAGAGTATGAAGTGAAGATGGCTCAGATTAAATATGAGACTGATAAAGTATCTCAAGAGGTAGACATGAAGGTAAGAGATAACAATACATTAATTGAGCAAGAACAAATTAAAATGAAACTCCTACAAATGGAACATGAACAAAAACTAGAATTATTAGACAAACAACAGGAGGTAGGTGAGAGTATGCATCCTCCTTCTTTTGCTTCTAAATTCTGTCTGACTAAAGGATTGAAAATGCCACCTTTTGATGAAAATCATGATGAAATGGACTCGTATCTGAAACGATTTGAAAGGTATACAATAGCAGTAAATTGGGAAAAGGATATTTGGGCTACAAATTTAAGTGCATTATTAAAAGGTCGAGCTTTAGACGTATATGCCAGAATGCCTGCTGAGAATGCACTTGATTATGAAGAATTGAAAGCTACATTATTGAGAAGGTTTGAGCAAACAGAAGAGGGTTTTAAGAAAAGATTTCGTTCATGTAGGCCTGAAAAGGGTGAGACATATTCACAGTTTGTTGTAAGACTAGAAAGTTATATAAAACGTTGGATCGAAATGGCAGAAATAGAAAAGTCTTTCGATAGTCTTCTTGACTTAATGGTGAGAGATCAGTTTTTGCATATTTGTAATAAAGAACTGACCTTGTTTCTTTTAGAAAGAATACCAAATTCATCAACACAAATGGCAAAATTAGCTGATCAGTATTGTGAAGCACGTTCTTTGCCTGCTTCTTCATTCGTGTTTAGTCGTAATGAACATGTCAAATATACTAAACCAATTGAACGTGGTAGAAGTGTTGAACGTAAGCTAGATTCTCATGTAGCACAAGGTAAGGACAAAAATTTTCCTTCAAACATAAGACGATGTTATCGTTGTGGTAAGACGGGTCACATTGCCTCTGATTGCAGAGTTAATCTTTCCCATAGAAAACCAATTGCTTCACTTCAGGTATCAGACAGACACAAAAGCAGTGTACATTTCGATGATAAAGTCGAACAAAGTAAGTCAAGATCAAGATCACCTACACCAGATTTTAAGAATGTTAAGGTTTGTAATGCTTTTATGCCGTTTACTGATAGTGTTTCTTACACTTCACCAGGATCTAACACAACATTAAGTTCAGCTTGTGATGTATCAACATCGCTTATTTCAATGCCAACTTCACATGGAATCATAGGTTATGAAATTGTGACAGTTTTAAGAGATACTGGCTGTAGTGGTGTTGTCGTACGAAGGAGTTGCATCCAGAAAAACCAAATTACTGATAGAAAACAGGTTTGTGTTTTAGCTGATGGTACAAAGATAGAGGTGCCGATTGCATGTATATATATAGACACATCATATTTTTCAGGTGAAGTAGAAGCGTGGTGTATGGAAAATCCAATTTATGACTTGATAATTGGTAATATCTCAAGTGCTAGAAATCCTGAATCTCCAGACCCAAATTGGAAACTTCAAGTAAGTGCTGTTCAGACAAGAAAGCAATCACGTGAAAAGGGTAATGTTGAGTATCGTAAGATGTTAGTTCCTGATGTTGTAAAGGATAGTGTGAGTCCTGATGATATACAAAGAGAACAGCAAATTGATTCTTCTTTAGCTAAGATAAAGCGGCTGATTTCAGAAGGGAAACAAAATGGTAACACATACTTTTTCATGAAAGGGTCATTAATATTCAGAAAGTTTCAGTCACCAAGTGTGGAAAAGGGTAAGGTGTTTAATCAATTAGTTGTGCCTGAAAAGTTCCGTAATACAGTTATGAGGTTGGCGCATGAATCAGTATTGTCTGGCCATTTGGCGACAAGAAGAACTCTTGCAAAGGTTTTGTCTGAATTTTACTGGCCTGGAGTGTCATCTGATGTGAAACGGTTTTGTCAGTCATGCGATATCTGTCAGCGCACAGTATCAAAAGGTAAAGTTGTCAGAGCTCCTCTTGGACAAATGCCTTTAATAGATGTCCCATTTAAACGGGTGGCAATAGATTTGGTTGGACCTTTACAACCACGTTCAGATAAAGGTAACAGATATATTTTAACCTTGATTGACTACGCCACGAGATATGCAGAGGCTGCTGCATTGCCGTCAATTGAAACAGAGCGTGTTGCAGAAGCTTTGTTAGACATGTTTTGCAGAATAGGTGTACCAGAAGAGATTCTTTCTGACATGCGGACACAGTTTACATCGGACATGATGAAAGAAGTAAGTAGACTTTTATCTTTCAGGCAGTTGACAACAACACCATATCACCCAATCTGTAATGGATTGTGTGAGAAAATGAACGGGACAATCAAGATGATGTTGAGAAGATTATGTGCTGAACGTCCGAAGGACTGGGATAAGTACCTTAACCCCTTGTTGTTTGCATATCGGGATTCTCCTCAGGAGATTTTGGGTTTCACACCGTTTGAATTAATATACGGTAGATCAGTCCGTGGTCCTATGACTATTCTTAAAGAGTTATGGACAAAAGATATTCCTGATTCTGAGGTAAAGACTACATATCAGTACGTATTAGATCTTCAGCAAAGGTTAGAAGAAACATGTAAATTAGCACAGAAAAACTTGGCAGTTTCATCTCATAGGTACAGACAGATATATAACAAAAGGTCAAGGGTGAAAAATTTGAAGACTGGTGAAAAGGTATTGGTGTTGTTACCAACAGATAACAACAAATTATTGATGCAATGGAAAGGTCCGTATACTATTGTAGAGAAAGTAGGTACTTTAGATTATAAAGTGCAAGTTCATGATAAAGTAAACATCTTCCATGCAAATATGCTAAAGAAGTATTATGTTCGTTCTAGTGTCAGTGTTAAAGATGTCGCTACTGTAAATGTAGCAGTTGTAGATGAAAACTGTGACTCAGAAATCGATCCTGATGTAGATTGATATTTTGAAATAGATACTCCATCGTTGGTGCCTACTGAATCATTTAAAGATTGTAAAATATCTCATAACCTTAATCCTGAGCAGGTAAATGAGTTGAATGAAATTCTAAAAGAATATTCTGATGTTTTGTCTGACAAACCAGGTTTTACAAATCTAGCAAAGCATGACATCAAATTGACCACTGATGAACCAATAAGAGCCAAAGCATACCCAGTACCTTTTGCTACAAGGCAGACTGTCATTGAAGAGGTGAAACGAATGCTTCAGTTAGGAGTTATAGAACCATCTGAAAGTGAGTATTGTAGCAATGTTGTGATTGTTAAAAAACGTGATAACACAAATAGGTTTTGTATAGATTTTCGTCCTCTAAACCGTGTTACTGTATTTGATTGCGAGCCGATTCCGAACCCAGAAGAAATCTTTGTTAAACTGTCAAAATCTAAATACATTTCCAGACTTGACTTAACCAAAGGGTATTGGCAATTACCTCTCACAGATTCTGCCAAGGCTTGTACAGCTTTCCGTACTCCAATTGGATTGTTTCAGTTTAGAACTTTGCCGTTCGGATTAGTTTGTGCTAGTGCAAGTTTTAGTAGGTTAATGCGCAAACTTCTAGATGGAATATCAGAAGTAGAAAATTTCATTGATGACATTTTCCTGTACACTGAGACTTTTTCTCATCATTTACAAGTGTTGAAAGACTTGTTAGAGAGATTAAGACAAGCTAATTTGACGGTGAAACCAAGTAAGTGTTGTTTTGGTTATCAAAGTACAGAATGTCTTGGTCATATTATTGGGAAAGGTTGTTTGGAACCGTTACCTGATAAGCTTGAAGCTATACGAGATGCCAACATACCAACTACAAAGAAACAGGTTCGATCATTTTTGGGTTTAGTTGGTTTTTATATGAGATTTGTTCCTAACTTTGCTACAATTGCTTCTCCGCTTACAGATCTCACCAAAAAAGGGCAACCGAACAGAATCATATGGGGAGAGTCACAACAAAAGGCGTTTGAGTCTTTGAAAAGGGCTCTATGTTCATTTCCAATTTTAAAATTGCCTGATCTTGATGCTATGTTTATTTTGCAGACAGACAGTAGTGATATTGGTATAGGAGCAATTTTGTTACAGGAAGAAGATGGTATTAAGAAACCATTAGCCTATGCCAGTAGGAAGCTTAAGAAAGCAGAACTTAATTATGCAACAATTGAGAAAGAATGTTTGGCCCTTGTCTGGGGTGTTTTAAAGTTTCAAAGGTATCTCTATGGTAAAGAGTTTCTGCTCGAAACTGATCATCGTCCGTTAGTTTATTTGAGGAGTAGTAAAGTGACCAACACCAGATTAATGCGTTGGGCTTTACTGTTACAGCCATACAGATTCCGTATTGTAGCTATAAGGGGTAAAGATAATGTGGGTGCTGATTGTTTGTCACGTCTTTAGAATGTATATACGTATTGTGTTAAGTATTTTTGATTTTGTGTTTTGAACAGTGTGAACACTGCTTAACAAGGGGGATATGTCACAAAATCAATTATATTTTATCTATTTTTAAATATAATCTCTTATAAACCTGTTTCTAGGAATAGACAGTTATAATACTGACCAGTGTAAATAGTTTTCTTCATACCTGAGTGAACACTTACCTGTATTAGTTAGCTGGCCATCTCTGACTTGTGACAGGTATGAATAGTTCTCGTTTTTCTCGTGCGTATTTCGCGGCTAAATAGTCATTCGAGGTTTACTACTGTACAAGTTACATTACTTTTGTTCAGTTAATTTAAGGTCTAAACAAGTGAGATTGATGCTTTATGTTGTAACAAAATTGTCCAATTGGCTCAATTATCTGTATAATTATGTTGATTGAATATTTGTCTTTGGAGATATATATTGTCTTTATTACATGACAAAATACGTTATTATTCATGTATTGCTATGAGAAAATATTTGTCGACTTTAAGAAATAAAAAAGTAGCAAACCGCCTTCTAACTCGATGCTATCTTTGTTTTTCCTTATCAAGTATAGCAAATAATTGTTTTATTTTCGGACGAACGTAAGTGAGGGAGAAAATAATACAATTAATGTAGGTACAATCGTATTAAGCAGTTACTGTCCGGTCAATAAAATGTTATGCTTGGATGAATACATTGTTCTATTTCGCCAATTAATGTATATGTGATTATAAGGAAAATGTCAGTTGCATGCATATATGTTCACTCATTGAAAATGCTATGGAGTAATTAAACGTATGGATTTGACTTCGGCTCCTGAAATGTGACACCTCTATATATAGCAAATATAATAAATCAATGCATTTATTTTCTACAGATGATTTTATTCAGTATACAGCCTTTTTGTGCAAATAAAAAACAGAGATCAAACCAAAATTAATGCAATTTCTACGAACAAAATAATGTTTTGCGAAATGTATAAACACATTCATAACATGATATTTCTTTTTGCTGTGAAATAGATATTACACACTGAGTGTCTTTGTATCTTTTAATCAGCTGTGGATTCAAATCCCGCAAAAGGACTTCGAATCCTGCATGAGAAGAAGCTAGTGGCAGCATAAAGAGTGTTGGCAGTTCTTTAAATCATGGAGAAGCACCAAAACGAAACGAAAAAACACCATGCAAGCAATGGAATATGTACGTATTTACATTGTTATGCATGTTTGAATTTCGTCAATGTACCCTCAAACCGAAAGAATAATTAATCCCATATGTTAAAAATTTGAGTAAAAAAACAAACCAAGAATGATAACATAGAAGCATTATATAAGATAAGTTATTAAAAAAAGAGTTTAGTGACCCTTTCGTACGCAAGCAAACACATATTTACTTTACAGTTTTGACAGAAATGGTAATCGATACTTTTAATGATTTTACATGATGATGACAAATGATTTTAATGTTAATACTGATATAAATTAGTGCAGTGTTCAAATTAAATGGCTATTTGCATAGTCAATTATAATTTAACCAGCTTACGATAGGCTAATTTTGCGTCTGAATTGAGTGTTATTAAAACTTAAAACGACAAGAAGCAAAGGTTCTTGTTAATGTGATTAACTAATTAAATGAGCGTTTTTAACCTTCGGAAAATGTACGACTATTATCAGTTAGATAGATGGTGTATTATTTTCTATAATTTTCAGATTTATCATTGATCAATAAAACTGATGGTTATATGATTGGCCGGACGTTTTCTTTGAAGACCTCTAAAAACGGTGCGAACAATGTTTAACTACCTTGTCACATTGTAATAGATATCTTGATATAATAGATGTCTTTTCATTTTACTCAATTCAAAATTGATCCCTTGTTTTCGTAATTAATTTGAAGACTTGTTACAATTGTAAAAGAAATACCAGCAAAGGTGATCAACGTGCACTGAAGGCAGTCCCCAAAACAAATCATTGCAACACAGGACCATGTGTATTCCTGACTTCATGATAAACTGAGGTGCAATTAATATGCAGTCACATGGCAGGGTAGGGAGAGAAATAGATCAGCTGGGTGTTACCCTTTCTCGTATTACTTTAAGTTCATGTAGACGGTAGTCCATATTATCTAATCATTGAATGAAGTTCAAGGCAATCCAAATTAACAGTAAAAGAAAAATGTGTTTCTGTCTTCAAAGTAACGAGTTAATGTATTGACATTTTCAGTAGACATTAAGTAATGTTTGTGAACTCCTCATTCTTTAAGACAATATTATTCTCTACGTCATTACTCTCACAAGTACGTTTTAGTTCTTTTGATCCACTTTCGTTCTAGTTAATTATCAATTTAAGTGTTTCTTAAGTACACAGTAAAGTCATTTGAAATGCCATGAATGTGAAAATAGAAAGTCTAAGTAAATGTTTTGCTTTACTTCAACAAAATTCTGTATTGATTCTACATATAGGTTATTGAACGTTAAACAGGAGTATTTTTTCTTCTCCCAGTGTTTTGTGTTGCTGTTGATATTTTTATTCCTAGGATTGTGAATGAAATGATAATTTAAATAATTCATTTTAAAACGTCCATATCTTTGATACCATAATTCAAATCTGACACTTCAAAAATACTGAGGGACAAAATACATTGATAGCTTTTTAAGAGATATATCGTAGTATTTGTTTTATGAACTAAACGTGCAGATAATAATTATGTACCTTAAATATGACGGATGGCGGGAATTTACGAATTAAATTTTACTTCAATTAAAAATCTGTAGATTTCATTTTGATACAACATTTATTGTGATGTAAAAGATATAACATACCACGATCATTTGATTGTTATAAAATATTTGCTTGAGAAAGCTTTAAAATATCAAACTTGAACTAAATAATATTTTCTCATAGCAGTGGCCTGCTTTAAATCAATAAAAATATTGATATAATGTTTCTTGTACGTAAACATTCAAATTTAGCATCAAAGTATAGTTTTATGATTTACTGGACTGTGTTTATTCAAATTTAGACAATAACATTTTTAGAGTAATTGCCGTCTATACAGTGCCTGTTATATAATTTAATAATAATAAATGATTTAGATTTGTTCTGTTTATTGGCGATTATAAATTACTGCCTCCATTCCAATCTTTCTACGGTAATTTCTCTAGAAAAATAGTGCAATCTTAATATTGATTCACTAATTTGTGCTTTTGCTCGTAAAGATTATACCAGTTCAATATTTTTTTAGATTTTGTTTCATCATGTTTTAATGCAGTGATCATAAAGACGACGTTTCCTATCTGCCGTTACAATCAATTTTAATTGTTTGAATGTTTTGGAAATCAACAATTCAAGTTGCGTCCAGAAAAATCCTATTCACATAGAAATATTAGCAAAAAATATGTGTAAGAAATATAATGATTAAAAAACACATTGAAACTCCTTAGCTAAAAATACAGCATTAAGATTTAATAGCTCTAATACAATATTCTTTATTTCAGTAATCCAGCAATGCTTTCTAATTATTTATCTATTATTATTCATAAACACTAAGAACACTAAGAACGTATATACTAAGTCTGAATAAAATTTTATTTTCGAAATAAACTCCTTTGTGGCATTGTTATTTTAGAATATTTAAAAACGACTAGGTTAAACGTATTTTCTACTAAAAATAAAATGATTTAAAACCTTCATATTTAAATAAATAGTACACACTTTTTATTTTCATGACTGTTTTTTTTAACCACAATGAAAAAAGAAGAACAACAAAGTTGCAACAGGCGTTGATGTATATCCTAAATATTTACAGTAGATTGGAAATTCATATTCATATTGGATTGTTTCCGTAAATGATTGTTTGCTTGCATGACATTGAATAGTGTGAAATATACTCCAAAACATCAATGGATTGGTATATTTATATTACCAACTTAAATTTTCAGCAATGAAGATAAAGTAGAAATAATCGAGATTGCCGTTGCAAAGCAAGAAAATTGTCGGGCAAAACGCTTTTGAAATACACACATTATTGATTATTGTTCATATGTAGATGAAACATTTTGGCATCAATGCTAAGTTAGATTAAACCCAGAGAAAAACATGTTGAAGATAACTACATGTATTTTGATCAGAATAATTCAGATATTTTGCTTAAATCAAATCACATTTATCTGCAAGTTAACTCTTTAAGGGACCATGATATATATTATATTATATATAAATTCATAAGTCTAATGAATATTATACAATGTTATCATCTTTATTTCCTCAAGTAGCAAAACATATACGAGTATCTTTTTATTAAAGGCTATCAACTTTAAAAATCACACATATAAATACATAGCACACTAATTTTACCGAGAAACTAAATGCTTTCGGATGAAAACGATTTATAATGATAAAGAGTTATAATAACATTCATTCGATCTAAATTGATTCGCTTAAAGAAGTAAGGTATTAACACAATTACTCACAGTAAAATATACTGCAATAACATACGATATGTACGAGGAAGTTATAACAATTCGCTCGTCACACGAAACAAAATCAAAACCAAAAATATTTGACATACACCAGACATATGTTCACTGTCCAATTATGATATGAATTTGATATCATTGTCGTCCTATGTATATGTAATTGTATTTGATATCATGGACGTTTTGTTGGCTAGTTCCGCGTTATCTGATCCTGGTATTACGGATAACAGCATTATAAAGTATTGTTTGACAACAACTTCCTTCTCACATGATTTAATTAATCAAAAACTTCATATTCTCCCGGCAGCAAATATATGTACAACTACGTTTTGACAGAACTATTAGTTAATTATTTTATATGAAACTTTGCTTCCTGTTTACATTAACAAAGAACGTATCCACATCATTATAGGTTGTCCTTAATTTTAGCAGAATCTAAATATTTGTTGCCTCTATTTTCGTTAATGTAATGGTAATGGCTAAAGTACATATATTCATTATGTGTTAATTCCCTTGCCCCCTCTCCTGCTTTTTGTTTGGTGTCTCTTGTGCTCCTTGCTGGTGATCATGTGTTGCAGGGTTGTATTAAGGAATGCGTTCATTAAACGATTCGTGTTATCTTTCTTTCACATTTCGTACTGATAAGGAGTGCAATGCAAAATATAAAAACAGTCAGAACTTAAATAGAAAATTATTAATGAATCTTATGCACAAACGAGCACAGAATACGT